TTTTTTTTTTTAGTTTGTTTCACATTCAGTGTTACACGTACATTTCGTTTCAATCCCCATTAACCATGGCCAACCCTAACCCATCTCCACTCCTCCCTACCCAGTAACCCTCCTCCTGTGCCTCTCATATTTATGCAATCTTGTTTGTCCTGCATTTCCTTTGAATGTTGGTCCTCTGGTGCCCCATGGTCTATTGCTCTAAGGGATGTATTACCATAGAATATGTGGGTGTGTCCTCTTGGGTTGAGTGGTCTACATGTACATCTTGTTAACTATTGGGCTGAGAGCCGGTCACTGGGGGTGAGTTTGGCACATCTCTGTTTTCTTTAGAATAACTACCAGAAACAGAACTTATGGGGTAAAGAGTTTACATAATGTCCTTCTGAAAGACTGTACCAAAGTACACTTGCCACCATAATGTTTAAGAATTCTCATTTCCCTAACATTCTCAGAAACAGCAGACATTCACATTCATGTTCATTGAAACCAATCTGATATGCAATAAAATAGCATTTGTTAAAGAATATTCACTGATGATCACTGATGACTAGTATGATGACAGATTTTTTTTTTCACTTATCGATTTACATTCTCATTTATTTGTAAACAACCCATCAGCCACTCCTTGGAAGGAAGGTTGGGTGATCTACTTCCGTAGTGCTACCACCTCAGAAACCCAAGGAGGGGTCTCCATGAGTCGGATCCAACTCAATGGCAGTGCGTGCGTGCATGTTGTTCAATTTTCTATTGAAGGGATTGTCTTTGTATGTAAGAGCTACTTAGATATTTAAGGATACAAGCTGTTAACTTTGCATGTGATTTTCTTTTTTTTCTTGTTGGTCATTCCTCTTTAAAATTTATACAATGAAATTATGGCATAGCTTCTAATTTAATTGAGATAAGACCATTATCTTTCCTTTAAGGATGTTGCATTTGTACTACTACTTATAAAGCATTTCTTTTCACCAGATTCTAAAAATACCTATGTCTTTCTCTAGAGTCATGTTTTAATTTTCCACTCAAACTATCCATTGAGATATGATATTAAGTAAAAAAATTATTTTTAAAGAACTAACCAGCTGTTATTGTTGCCAGCTGCTGTTGGGTTGATTATGACTCATGGCGATCCCATGTGTTACAGGGTACACCTGCTCCATAGGATTTTATTGGCTATAGTCTTAATGGAAACAGATTATTAGGGCTTTTCTTCCATGCTACCACTGGGTAGGTTAGAACCACCAATCTTCAGGTTAACAATAGAGTGTAAACCATTTGCACTAACTAAACCAAAACCAGTCCATTGCCACCAAGTTGATTCCAACTCATAGCAACCCTATAGGACAGAGTAGAACTACCCTTGTAGGATTTTCAAAGCTATAAACTTTATGGAAGCAGACTGCCACATCTTCTTATGGAAGGTGGGTTTGAATAACCAACTTTTTAGTAAGCAACTGTTTGTTTAACCACTGCATCTCCAAGGCTCCTTTGTAAAACTTAAGGACCTTGAAACTAATCTTATGGGGCTAAAATCAAGGTGTTGGCAGGGCTGTTCTCCTACAGAGGCTCTAGGGAAGAATCTGTTTCCTTATCTTTCCCAGTACCTAGGTCTGCATTATTTGATTCTTGCATTATTTGATTCATTGTCCCTTTTTTCATCTTCAAAGCCAGGGGTATAACATCTGTGACTGCTTCTCTCAGCTTATCACATGGCCTCCTTTTCTGTCTGAAACTGTCTTCTGCCTGTCTCTTATAAAGACTCTTGTAATTACATTGGGCCCACCCAGATAATCCATGATACTCTACCTATCTCAATATCCTTAACTTAATCACACCTGCAAAGATTCTTTTTCCACATAAAGTAACATTCATAGGTTCCAGGGATTAGAACCTGGGTGTTGTTTGGGCAATCTTGAGCTGACCAAACCCCACTTATCTCCCCAGCCTCATGGTATGCCCTCTGCACTCTAGCTACATTGTTCTCTCTCAGTTCCTTGGACACACCATGCCTCCTCCAGCCCAGGTTATGTTACATGGGCATCAGAGAAAGGGAGAAACCATTCTCCACAACCAAAGCAAAATAATTTCAATTTCCTGGATAGTCAGGATAGGTGAGCATAGCCAACAAAGCTAGAAGCTATACTGGTTAAAGTGCTCAGGGAGAGAAGCCATGAGTGGTGGGCATTAGGGGCCTCTTGGAGAGCAGCAACCCCAGCAGAGACTGTTAGCTTAGGTGACTTGAGGTGGTCCTCAATCTCCTCTGAATTCTTCTGTTCAGCCTGATTGCTCACCAGGGCTTTTGTGTAAGTGTGAAGGAGCTGGATTCAGGTCCAGAAACTGAGGGATGAACAGGGGCAGCCTAAAGACTCAAGGCACAGGGACATGGATACCAACTGTTAACCAGGTTAATGGGAAGACAGGGACACAGGGCCTAGGAGGAGTGACTAGGCAGAGCACAATGAGATAACAGAAATGAACATCACTTGTGTTGGTCCATCTACCTCATCCCAGGGCCAGTTTTCTGAGAATCCAACCCATCCACCTACTAGCTACAGAGGAGAATTTGTTGGGGGCCAGCACAATCATTCCAGGCTGCTGCGGGCTGTGAGCCCAAATGGTGACTTACAGCTGTGGACAGTCGTGAGGCCAGTGTCATCTCCAGGTTCCCCTTCAGGCCTACCAGGGGTGGCACCAACGTCAGAAGTTCTTTCACCTCCACAAACACAGGCCAGTGCTGGTGAGAAAGAAAAAGGAGATAAATCCACAGGCACATACTGGCACATCTCTGGACATCCCTTGAAAGAACCTTCAGCAAGTTATTTCTCATTCCCTACAAAATAAGGATGACTAAACAGTTTCTTAAATTGCTTTAAACTAAAAACAAAATAATGATGAAGCCATTTAACTTTTTGAATACTGTCTAATGGATCCACATTAGTGGCCTCAAGCACACTCCTTTCATTCTTTGGTCCTCAGAAGCCAGGATAATTGGAGGCTGAGCTAGTCAGAGGCTGAGGGGTTGGATCTGGCCTGAAAATGGGCCTATCTATCTGTACAAAGTGTTCATAGAAATATAAATTAATAATGAGTTTGAAAGCTGGGAAAGTTCTCACAAATTGAGAGCCCTGGTCAGTTCAGTGGGGCTGAGTAGTAGCGATAATTTGATCAGGGACAGTCATTCTTCAGACTGCCACAACCTTGCCTTCCTTGATGCTGCCCAGGCACTGAAGCTAGTGGAAGTCTCCACTGACCCCCAGTCTTGTGCTGTTGATTTTTCAAAATAGGTATGTTCTATCAAAGTAATAAATAAATTAGGTAGACCAAAAGGCTGGCGGTTCATACCACCAGCCACTCCTTGGAAGGAAGGTTGGGCAATCTACTTCTGCAGTGATACCACCTTGGAAACCCAAGGAGGGGTTGCTATGAGTTGGATCTGACTTGATGGCAGAGAGTTTGGTTTTTTGGGTTTGGTGTTTTAAGAAAATTGGAAAAGAAAAAATAATTTTTTTTGTGTGGCAGTGACAACTATTCCTACCTATTTAATATGCAATTAAGTTGCCAACTGATTTTGTTAGCTAGGAGGCAGGGACCCGAGGTTAAGTCCCAGTTCTCCCACACAAGAACTGTGTTGTTATGTGCCGTAAAGTTGATTACGACTCATAGAGATGCTATAGGAGAGAGAAATGTCCCACAGGGTTTTCTAGGCTGCAATCTCTATAGGAGCAGATTGTCAGATCTTTCTTCCCAGGGAGCTGCTAGTGGCTTTGAACCACCAAACTCTGGCTGGCAGCCAAACACTTAAGATGTGTGAAAATCACTATAGCCCCTAGAGGATGTGGGAGAACTCTCTATAAAGCAGTCCTCAATGACAAAGTAGGAATTCCTTATTTAGGTCTAGAATTCTAAAACCAGGAGGACTTTCTAGGGTAGGGGTTAGATATCTTCATGGCCCAGAGAGATTAAAATAAGTTAGTAGGCTCAGATAAGGTATTAAAAACTGATAATTTTTAGATGTAATCATGATAATGAGGTTATGCTTTTGTTAGGGGGAAAAAAAAGTCCATTATTTTAAAGATACATTAAAATACTTATGGAAAAAATGATTATATTTCTTGGATTTACTCTAAAACAATTCCGAGTTCAGAAGGATAACGAGGGTTGGGGATAGATAGATGAAACAAGATTGTCTGTAAGAATATAACTATTGAAATTGGTGATAGGTTCCCAGGAATTCATTTTACTAATTTATTCTATTTTTATAAATGCTTTAAGTTTTCTATAATAAAAACTTCTTTAAAAGTGGGCTGAAAAAATTAATTTTAATATCTTGGCATCCCTGGGTGGAACAAGCGGTTAAGTTCTCAAAAACTAAACCAAACGATGGTGGTTTGAATCCACCCAGAGGCACCTCAGAGTCCCCGGGTGGTGCAAAACCTGCTAAACAAAAGGTTGGTAGTTCAAGGCCACCCAGAGATGTCTCAAATAAAGGCCTATGAATCTACTTCTGAAAAAGTAATCACTGAAAACCCAATGGACCACAGTTCTACTCTGACATATGTGAGATTGCTATGAGTTGGTGTCGATTCAATGGAACTGGTCTGGAACATGTTTTATGAGGCCTAGAAGTAAAAAGATTGGGCTATAGGTCCTTGTAGAACTCCTTCACATTCTCAGATATAGGAAGATGATCCTTTGTTTACCTTTTCCTCCCTCTTTCTTTCTCTCCCTGTTTTTCCCTTTGTCTGATCAACACAGCTGCTAAATTCAGAATCCATTCTTGGCTCTGATTGTATTACGAGTCTACCCTTTCCGAATACTTAATAATATAGAAGAAAACTGTGAAGGACTTCCAGCAAGATGGTGGAAAAGGCATACAAGCTATATAGACCCTCTACAACAAAGAACTGAAAAACCAATCGAAACAGTTACAGAAGATAATCCTAGTACCCTGAACTGAGAAGAGAAGGATAAAGAAGTGGATTAAATACTGACTAGTATAAGAACCTAAATGAAAACAGTGAATAGGGAGACAAATGGAGCTGTGAACTGTCAGGTACCCTGATGGGGTGGCCATTTTGAATATTTGCAAACAGCAATCTGGGCAGCAACCTGATAATCACCTCTGCTTGCTGACGACTGCACAGGCAACAGCACTGGTGGCTGACGACTAGAAAAGTGCAATATTCCCCTGGTTTCCCTTGTTTCCCACACCCTTCTGGTGTTTGGAAGTGTGGCCCAACCCTATCCCCACACATCTTCTGGACTGGCAGGAATTTCATCCTGGACCAGGCGTCCTGCCAATAACTGTATGTTGTTGAACTGGTCCCAGGACTAGGTACCCTGTACTCAGCCATCTTTTGGGCCACCAGGAACTTTTTCTGAGACCAGTTATCCCACACCCAGCCAGTTTTCGCAACAGCAGGAACTTTTTCTGGGAATGGGATCCTGAGACCTTGAGATGGTACGAATTTAGTTGGGGACCAGATGCTCTGCCCACAGCTGCTTTTTGGCAGAAACTCCCTCTGAAACCAGGCACCTTGCTCCCAATTACCTTTTCGACCAGCAGGAACTGTTTGTTGGTCTAGGCACCCTGATCCTAGACACCTTCTGGACCAGCAGGAACTTGTCTGAGATCAAGTACTCAGCCCCAAGTTGTCTTGTGGGTAGAATGGAACTAGTTCTGAGATCAGCCATCCTGCTCCCAGCAGCATTTTGGGTTGCCAGGAACTTTTTCTGGGACCAGGCACCCTACACCAAGCCCCTTTTTTTGGATGGCAGGAACTTCTACTGAGAGTAGGGACCCTGCACTGAGCTGCCCTTTGGGCCAGCTGGAACCTTTTTTTAGCTCCAGGTGCCCAATCTCCAGACATCTTCTGGTCCAGCAAGAACTCATCTGAGATCAGGCAACCTGCCACAAGTTGACCTCTGAACAGGCATAAAATAGTAATAGAAACAGGTGCCCTACTCCCCACCACCTGCTTAGCCAACTGGAACAGCCTGAGTACCCTGCATACCCAGTTTTGTTTATGTTTGTTTTTAAGTTATACATTTTTTTCTTCTTTCTTTTTATCTTTTCTTCCTGCCCTTCCCTGGTTCTTGTTTACTTGTCACCCCCCTCCACCCCTTTTTCCTGGTTCCCTCTTTCTTTCTGTTCTTTTTCCTTTTTTGTTTCTCACATCCCCCCCTTTTTTTTTTTTTTAGCATTTTCTGTATTTTTCTTTATTATTCTCTCTTGCTCACTTCTCTTTCCTCCCTCACCCAATATTCTTTTTCCTTTTTTCTTTGCCTTCTTTTGTCTTTTTTTAACTTTTATTTTTCATTTATTGCTTTTTCTTTTTGCAGTTATTGCTGCTTGCTTATGCTGTTTCTGTTTTTGGCTCTGTTGTTTTAACTTTTTTTTTGGTATTGGGTTTCACTGTCCCACTGGTTGGGAGACAACAACCATACCCACACAACCCAACCACATCCATATCTCCTGCAGTCCCACCCAGTAGGTGAGTGCCACCATGTGTTTCTGCACCAAATAATCAACAATAGACATTAGCTAATACTTGCCCAAATTATCTTCAGCTGCACTATATGAATGGCTAACAAAGATTTGTGCACACACTCTCATTCTCTATCAAACCCACCAGGAAATAGCTGGTAAGTGCCTAAGTGCTGCCAAACTAGTGGGCAGAGTAGCAAACTAGCTCTGCTCACTCAGAAAAAATAACATAAAGCAAACAAAACAAAATAAGAAACCAGGGCTAACTGCTCCACCATACCAATTAAATACAGAAACAACAACATCACAATGTCTTGGAGACAAATGACAACCCTAGATCACACAAAGAAGCAAGATAAAGAAAAAAAAGGATGCGAATGCAGAGCCAGAAAACCTCCTTGAGGAAGAAGTGGCATTGGAACTGCCTGATAAGGAATTCAAAAGGATTATATTTAGGTATCTTCAATGGATTGAGAGATAGATCAAGGAAAACACCAGGAAAATTAAGGAAAACAAAGGCAAAACTCTAGAACAATTTAAGAAAACAATACCAGAACAAACTGGCAAAACAAATGAAAAGTTAGAAACCATACAAAAAAACAGCAAATAGAAATCCAGAAGATTAATACTAAGATTTCAGAAATAGATTATACCTTGAAAGGGCTAAGGAGTATAATCAAATCAATGGGAGACAGAAATAGTGAGACTGAAGACAAATCCCTCAATATAACTTTGTTAAGGCATTAATCAGAAAAAAGATCAAAAGAAAATGAAGAAACCTAAGATTTATGTGAGACACTATCAAGAGGAATAACTTACATGTGATCAGACTTCCTGAACAGGAAGAGAGAAATAAAACCACAGAGAAAATTGTCAAATATTTGTTAGAAGAGAACTTCCCTAATATGATGAAAGACAAGAAGATAGTCATTCAAGAAGTTCAATGACCCTCAACATGATAGACCCCTCCCAAAAATAAATCACCAATACATATCATAATCAAACTTATCAAAACCAAAGACAAATAAGAATCCTAACGGCAGCACAGGAAAAACAAAAAGTTACTGAAAAAGGGCAAGCAATAAGACTAAGCTCTGATTTCCAGCAAACTCCATGCAGGTGAGAAAGCTGTGGAGTGACACATATAAAAGCCTGAAAGGAAAAAAAACTGCCAACCCATTGAGAAGAGGAAGACACAGAGAGGTGCATGGGAGGTACAGACAACAAAGATGAACTCTTTTGTACAT